TCTTTTTGTTTTGACCAAAGTTCCAAAACCCTGAAAATAATAGGTTGCAGGTACTTCCATATTCTAAAATTTTCCCATATCCATTTTTCCACAGTCTTGCGACCCTTAGCCCAATAACCAGGATATAAAGTGATTTAAATGGAAAAGGTCAAAATAAAGGAGTTCTTTGGAGAAAGCCACTGGTGTGCTGAGCATTTTCTATCCCCCCACCATAGTGGCAGGGGGGAAAGGGACCTTCCTCGGGGAAAGCCTGAAAAGAGAAAGTTCAAGGGAGCCCCACATTCAGAGAATCTGATTTGCGTACCCTAAAGCTTTGGAAGACACACTGGCCTGGTAACTGATTCCAAGGATAAGAAACTCAAGGGTCAAGAAGCTGAGGCTGTCAGGCCAGAGAGCAGGACAGAAAAGTGGACACCACCCTGGGAGCGAGCTACACGTTCACTAATGGGAGGACACGGGGTCAAATGAGGAAGAAAACTGGTCTGTGGCTGGAGTCAGCTGTGAGAGCATACAGTCCTCCATTTGGCATGGCAAGGATCTGTGAGTTTCCACAAATCCAGCAGTCACCTGGGAAAGTAATCATATTGGAGGAACCACCTTGATGTGACTTTTCCTGAAAAAGGACAGACTTCCAGGGCAAGAGACCTCCAGTAATGCCAGCAGTGAGAGTGGGTGGGATGCACTTAAAGGGGCAGGAGCTGAGGTAATGACACAAGAGTCCAGGATAACAAAATATAAAATACCTAGACATACATAAAAATAAGCATAAACTACCTTGTAAGTTAAAAAACTAGAATACTCTAGAGAGGGATATACAAAAATTAAATGGAGATATATACTATGTTGTGGGATGGGAGCATTCTCCATTTAACACATCTCTCTCCCCCTCAAAAAATGTAAAGATTTGAAGGGGGAGAAACTGACCAAATAATTCTTTAGTTTATGTACAATAAAGATGTATCCATGAATAAATACATAATAAAAGCTGAGAATAATCTGAGAATTCACAGAAAGAGTTGTAACTTACTTTTATCTGGTATGAAAAAAGCCCTATTTAAAAGTTCTAGCAGGTTGGGGGCGCCTGGATGGCTCAGTGGGTTAGAGCCTCTGCCTTCAGCTCAGGTCATGATCTCAGGGTTCTGGGATCGAGTCCTGCATGGGGCTCTCTGCTCAGTGGGGAGCCTGCTTCCCCCTCCCCCTCTCTGCCTGCCTCTCTGCCTACTTGTGATCTTTGTCTGTCAAATAAATAAATAAAATCTTAAAAAAAAGTTCTAGCAGGTGGTATTGGCACAGAAATAGATCAGCAGAACAAAGGGGAATGTTCTATGATTCAGTATATAATTCAAATCACTGAGGGAAAAGTCAATGAATATTAATAGGACAAATGGCTAAACCATTTAGCAACTTAATAATAAAAAAAGATCCACCCCCCACCTCATTCCTTATACTAAAATAAATTTCAGATGGATTAAAAATTTAAATGTTTTTTTTCCATTAAACTGCTGAATTAGATTTATTACCTTGAGATTGGAAGGTCCCTCTAAGCATGGCACCAAAGGCATGCTTTGGTGTGTGGTAATGCTTGACATAAACAAGGTCAAAAGGGAGATGTGTGGTAATGCTTGACATAAACAAGGTCAAAAGGGAGATGATAAACTAGAAAATTTGTTTACAAAATATATGATAGCCAGGGAAAAAAATTATTATGATACAAAAGGCTTTTCATATCAATAAAAGACAAGCCCGGTACTTGAGAAAAAAAGGCAATTCACCAAGACAGAATTACAAATGACCAATCCACATGCAAAATGCAAGTAAAACACCACCAAGTCATCATTTTTCTGCCATCAGATTAATCAAACTGAAATACATCAACAGTGCCCAGCGGTGTTGAGGCTTTCGGTTGGTGAGAATGTCAACTGGTATAAACTTTTCATTGAGATTCCTCTGACGATATGTAGTAAACACAAAATATCTATCAGTTTCAATTTCACTCCTAGGAATGTAGCCTAAATGATAATTACATACAATTATACGAACTGTATAAGGTTTGGAAACATGGTAAATGCACCATGCGCAGAAGAGTATTGGTTAAATAAGCTATGGCACAAACTTTTAATGTAGTCACTATCGACATTAAATAAATAAATATCTATCTATCTATCTATCTGTCTATCTATATATATATATACATATACACACACACACACACACACATATATATATATATATATGCGCCCAGGAAGGAAAGAAGCAATAGTCTACAAAACAACATGTGTAGTTGACCCCATTTTGGTAACCCTGAGTTGTGCCCAGAAAGTACGGATATGGGTACACATGTATACATACTCATCACCAAAATGATTCATTCATTCTTTTTCTCTCTCTCTCAAACAATCAGCATACTGCTTTGTTTGTTTTTTAACTTTTTTGCTTCAGTGTATCACCTGCACACAAACCTGGGGGCAGAAAAAGCCACACCCTCTTTCCTCTCCCAAATCATGTACTTCAGCTCAAGCACAACGGTTGTGGCAGGCGAGAGGCCCCAACACACTGGCTGATTGACGACTATTACTGATACTGGTTTTTCTCTTAGATGCATAGAATGGAAAAATAGGCGGTTTAGAAAATCTGAATGTGAGATCAGCAATAAAAAGGGAGCACTGAGAATTCTTTTTTACTTCCTTTAAAATCAATTTAAATATTAACTTGATTCCAAGCTAATGTGGAATTGTAAGATAATCACGTCTGCTCTGGTCTTGGTTAGGTGCCCAGCTACGACTTGAGTCAGAGACAGACTTTCACCTGTTTCCCCTAATTAACCTCCATCTGTCTGGTGGTTTGTGTTTCCTTCCAGAAGTGATGGGGGGGGTGCGATACCTTATAGTGAAAAAAGATAGATATAAAAAGCCCTATGTTACAGCAGTTAAGGACAATGGTTTAAAATACACACACACACACACACACAGACCTGACTTTCCCCAAAACCAAAAATGCTGTTCAAAGGTTAGCTCAAGGCCTGTCCAACCCCGGGAATGAGGACCAGACTTGCAGTCGGAAAATCTAACCACACAATTCAGGTCACATAATTGTCTGAACCCATTTCTCCATTCTAAAGTGGGGGAAATGTTAATCCCTGACCTTCCCACCATACACAACTGTTGTGAGGAGGGAATGGAAAAATGTGCATAAACAAAAACTCCAGTGGAGAGAAATCAAGATTACGGGTGTGCACACCCACAGATCAGCCAGGGAACAGTCTGCTCCCTAGGGGGGCAACCCTCAGTTTTGATTTCTCATCTAGAAAGGAGCTCACAGCTGGGCCTCAGTGCTCACCTGGACATGCTGTCCCCAAGACGGTAACTAAGGGAGAGACCCTTCCTCCACCCCCTGCTTGGACCTCACCTTATTTAGAGGCCCTCAAACCCAACTCCGAGGGCTGCCCGGCCAGTCCTTCCACAAACAGACCCTGCGTTCTCCCAGGAAGACCCACCTTTGCTCTCCTGAGATGCCCTCCCCACCTTATCCATGAGTCTGCTTGGGAAAAAATGAACAGTCTTGTGACAAAGCCACCAGGTGAATTTAGAGAACTTCTGGCGGCCCTCACCTCACGTTTATGAGAAAACAGAACTGTGGAAAGATGGTACATCTTCTTGCCAACGCTCAGGCCCTGCTTTTGTTAAGCAACACTACTGAGCAACCCGAGGCTGTCTTTGGAAATGTTCAAAGGCAATGAAAAAGTTCATGTTTTTGTTATTTTAGTATTCTTCCATAAACTGTTCCACACTTCTGCACTGTATGCAGAAGTACATTTTACCTAATATTTTACTAAATACTTAGTCAGTTATTTTAACTAGAAGCTTTTGCTACTAGGCAAGTGGGATTTCTTCCTCTCAATGACAATTTTGCTAAGCTCCCCTGGGGACCACAGGAACTTCTTTGGCAGCTAATTCTACAGCTGGAAATTAAGAGGCTGCAGAAACATATGGTGTTTACAGGTCCAGTAAACAACAACAACAACAATAATAATAGCAATAATGGGAGTTCAGATTCTCTTTTTGGATAGAGGAGGCTTTCAGGAAAATCCTCACTCATCAGAGACCTTACCCTACACTAACCACAATAATTTGTAATGAGTCCAAATTTCATTCAAAGGCTGTGAAAATAGTATGAGCTTGAATAGCTGCACATAAAAATTAAAAGCAGAGGGGTGCCTGGGTGGCTCAGTGGGTTAAAGCCTCTGCCTTTGGCTCAGGTCATGATCTCAGGGTCCTGAGATCGAGCCCTGCATCAGGCTCTCTGCTCAGCAGGGAGCCTGCTTCCTCCTCTCTCTCTGCCTGCCTCTCTGCCTACTTGTGCTCTCTCTCTCTCTCTGTCAAATAAATAAATAAAATACTTTAAAAATTAAAAGTAGAAAGCTATTTATAGTAGTCTTTTGAGAGCTCTACTCTGTAAGCCACTGAAGATGAGAGCAGGGAAGGTTCTAAATGCTGATCCTATAAAGAAGATGTGGTATATATACACAATGGAATACTATGCAGTCATCAAAAGAAATGAAATCTTGCCATTTGCGACAACATGGATGGAACTAGAGGGTATTATGCTTAGCGAAATAAGTCAATCGGAGAAAGACAACTATCATATGATCTCCCTGATAAAAGGAAGTGGAGATGCAACGTGGGGGGTTTGGAGGGTAGGAAAAAAATAAATGAAACAAGATGGGATCGGGAGGGAGACAAACCATAAGAGACTCTTAATCTCACAAAACAAACTGAGGGCTGCTGAGGGGAGGGGGTTTGGGAGAGGGGGGTGGGGGTTATGGACATTGGGGAGGGTATGTGCTATGGTGAGTGCTGTGAAGTGTGTAAACCTGGCGATTCACAGACCTGTACCTCTAGGGCTAATAATACATTATATGTTAATAAAAAATTTAAAAATTAATAAAAATAAATAAATAAATGTTGAGTCTAGGTTATAGTCCAAGGTAGTACCTCAGAGGACAAAGGACAATTATTCCGAACACTGCCAAAGCTGCTGGGGCTGCCGGCTGTTCCTGAACACCCGAGCATCAGGATACGGCTTCCCTCTCTCTGACTCTTCCCAGCTGAGGGCATCTACTTAGAGCCAGGTCTCCCCGGGCACAGCGGCTCCGCAGACAGTTTCCACCTGTTTCTACTGTTCCTCTGGTTTCCTCCTCTGCCCACCAGCCCAGACCACCTGGATCTGACCCTCACCAACGCCCAGTGAGCTAACGGAGTGAGAACACAGCAGCCCACCCCATCAGGAGCACTGTCTCTCTTCTGCAGGACTGCAACCCTGCACAATTTCAGGGCCGCATTCATATACACTGTACCCTGAGGTTGTATACTAGAACTGTCCCCTGCCTGTCTCTCCCGTGCTTGTTATCTTCCAGGCCTCAAAAAAGAGGGAGAAGAGGGAGAATACCATTGCTGCTTAGGAAAGTCACATGCCTCTGCTCCATTCATTTCTTCCTGAGCCCTGGAGTTACACCATCAGTTAGGGAAGAAAGCTAAAGAACACTGACTCAGGGTTTAAAAGTCCAATCTAACGTGTTCCATCTGCAAATTCAGCAAGTCAACGGGGCCCTGGACCGCTTTATCTAATGTGTAGACCGCATATATCTAATGTGTCATAGTTCATGTCATGTGGCACATGATTCAAGTGTCATGGCTCAGTAACAGTCATAGTTACTGAGGCTGGAGGTCAAGGGGAAGGTCCCATCAGGCACAGTCTTTCCCCTTCCCTGTAAACACGTGGACGATGGCCATGGGCTTGACAATGTTTCAGCCCACTGTTACTACACGAGCACCCGATCTAAAGGAAGACGCAGGGCATTTTCAAGAGAGAGTAATAAAAAAAAGTCAGGCAAGACTGCTATAAACTTTGGTGTGGAAGAGAAGAATGGCTGAAATTAACAGAATATTTTTATTGGAATGATAACTTATGACTTTTGAACACCTGTAAGACCCATGGTTCTGTATCAAAGCTCTTCTGCCTCACAGCCGTCGCAGGGAACTTGCTGGAGAGGCCAGGTTAGCATACTTTCTGTTAGTATGTCAATTAATTGTAGGAAAGGGGTTGCTTCTGAAATGCTTGACAGGTTGCCTCTGTCAACGATCTCTATCCTTTTCAATGACCTCCTTCATAAAGGCAAATTCTAGCCCAAACTTAAGTCCATCTCACTGCTCGTTGTAAAAAGATGGATTCCAAATTAGTCCAGGGATGCTATAAAGGTGCAGAGACTGTCCTGCATTCAACGTCCAGAAGAGCTGACTCTCGGGAAGCACTCAGACATCCAGCCCACATGACCCATAGCCTGTGGTCAATACTACATTGTCTATCAAGGGTCTCAAGTTCACAGACACAGAACTGGTTGTGTAGCGAGCAGAGAAGACGTCAGCGATTTCCGAGCTTCCTCCACTTGGGGGGTTCCACAGAGATATTTGCCATCTTGAATCCAGAAATGGGGCCAAGCTGGGAATGGAAAAAGTTGCAGAACCACACACACCCGGATGGAAGCCCCACAGGGCCTCTGTGTAGGCAGGCACCTGAGAAGTTGTCCTAGCACCTGCCCCAGCGGCACTGCTTCCTCCGCACGTAGCACCCGTCTGCAATCTAGACGTGGAGGAGGAAAGGGGTCCAATGACACACTTGGGTTTTCCCTTGGTGCATCTGTACGTGCAGCTCTTGTACCCTCATGGGAAGCAGCGTGGGGGACGAGCCACCACTCCGTGAGTAGCCCTCACAGCCATCGCTGGCCCTGCTCCTTTTCTGCACCAGAAGGGCACCCCCTCCCCGCCCTGAGGCACAGAGCTACTCAAGCCTCTTACCTGACGAGTGCGGAGCCCCTGACCACCTCCACCCACCGCCCCTCTGACCCTCCTCAAGCCCAGCTGTTCTTCAAGACTCCGACCCCATCCTTCCCCCATTCCACTCACTTCTCAAAAATGACAGTCTCACATACCACACGGCTGAGAAGGAGAGGAATGCGAGAACAATCACAACAGCCATGGAGCCCAGCCCGACGGCCACCATCTGCTGCGGCATGAACGACGAATCTGTAGGACAAAACCACACACTGAGCCCACAGCACGCAGTCACAGCCCTCCTGGGAGGCACGTGGGCACCTGTGCTCACTCCGTGTTAACCCAGAGCTTGGCCCCATTTCACAAGCCATCCCAAGAAGGCCCAGAGTGCCTCTGCACCCCCTGAGTCGGCCCCTATGGTGTAGGCCTAGGGAAAACACAGTCCCAGGGTATTTCTGAAAAGAAAATGGAAAAACCAGGCCACATTCAAGTCACAGAGGATTAAAAAAAAAGCTCTTCTTCCTGTGCATACAAATACAGCAGACTGTGTTGGTTGTATTTGTCTTCTCTCTGTCAGCTGCACCTGAGAGTTTTTCTGGGCAGTTCTCCTTTGCACTGAGGAAGAAGCAACTCTGATATCATATGGAATTTTGCTCTAAAAATAACAGGTGGCTCCCACGGTTAAATATAGCAAATGAGTCTGTCTGATGGATGGGGTCATCTGTCGTTTTCCTGACACACCAACAAGGATAGTACCTTCCTGCTCAGCCCAGCAGGTTGTCATGAGGCTAAAGTAAGAAAATAAATGTAGGGCACCTGGGTGGCTCAGTTGGTTAAGCATCTGTCTTTGGCTCAGGTCATGGTCCCAGGGTCCTGGGATCAAGCCCCACATCAGGCTCCCTGCTCAGTGAGGAGTCTGCTTCTCCCTCTACTCTGGCTTATGCACGTGCCTGCACACTCTCTCTCTTTCTCTAATAAATTAATAAAGTCTTTTTTTTTTTAAAGAAAATTAATGTAGAAGTTCTCTGAAAGACATACATATGTTCTATTTGGGGTTTATCACGTGTCAACTGCAGGGAGATCCTTTGCTACACACTGAAGAACACCCACACTTGAGTGGCCCGTTATGGGCCCAGTGACTGAATCAGAGCATCCTGTTCTACACCAAAGGGCTCATTTTAATTTGCAAAGAACTGACTGAGCACTTACGATATGCCAAACACTGTCCTAATGACTTCTCCTGACCACCTACGGAGTACTATAATAGTATTAATAAACATATTACAGTTAATAAACGTATTACAATTAATAAACATATTGCAATAATAGTGCCTAGCGTCATAATAAGACACTGAGTACTATTATTATTCCCATTTTACAGATGAGAGACTGAGGCATGGCATGGTTCAGCAACTTGTCCAAGAGCACACAGCTAATGTACAAGAGTCAGGATCCAAACCTGAGCTGTTTGGCTCCAGCATCTTGGCTTTTTAACCACAACACCATGCTTTCCCAGTACAGATCTGAATCCAGTTCTGTCTACAGCAGAGCAGGCCACGCTCCCCCTCAGAAGTCCAGGGTACAAGCCTTGCTCTTTGGGGCACTGGCTGATGATGGTGGGGCCTCGGACTGTAGCAGTTCAAGTTCTTCTTTAAAAGAACAAAAGTCCGCATGCAATGGTGCGGCAGATGTTGGAAAGATCTTGGGGGCTGATGGTGCATAAACAGAATTAAAAAAGAGAAACACCACCTCGCCATGGAAGAAATGTAAGAAAGTGCAACTAAGTCCAAATTCTGCCAGATGATTTGCTATGGTTGTCACTGTTGGGATATCAAATTATTTCCCTTTTCGTTACCTTCCTTTTACTGATGCCCCAAGCATATGCTTAGTCTGTCCTCTGGGCCATCCAGTGCTGCCTGGGAAGAGCTGAAAACCAGCAAAAATAAAGGTCTGCTAAGTAACAAGTAGGGGCCTGAGGGGAAAAATAGCAGCCCCTGGACGTGAGAGCCTCAAAACATAGAAGACTCGCTTCCCCAGCAGCAAGCGAGGCTCATCCGAGAAAAGTCCCTCCTCCCTGACTCTCTCATCACCAAATCTGCGCTCTCCAATACCGTAGCCACTGGCCGCAGTGTGGCTGTTGAAACCTAAATTAGTTCCAGGGGCACCTGGGTGGCTCAGTGGGTTAAGCCTCTGCCTTTGGCTCAGGTCATGATCCCAGGGTTCTGGGATCGAGCCCTGCATCCGGCCCTCTGCTCGCAGGGAGCCTGCTTCCCTCTCTCTCTGCTGGCTTCTCTGCCTACTTGTGATCTCTTTCTCTGTCAAAAAAAAAATTTTTTTTAATTAAAAAAAAAAGAGATCTAAATCAGTTCCAATTAAATTAAAAATTCTGTTTCTCAACCATATCATCTCAAGTGCTCAATTTCAAGTACGCATTTCAAGCGCCCAATAGCCCCACGTGGCTGGTTGCTGCCATATTGGACACTGCCGCTTTAAAACTTCCCGCCATTGCAGAGTTGTATGGACGGGTACAATCTCCACAACCAGGTTAAGAGCAGTGTGGTTCTATTCTCTCACAGGATAGTGGCTCCAGCAAAAGCGGCCACAGAATACATTTCTTGCTAAAAGGCTCTGCAAAACCCATTACCTTGTCAAGAGAGAGACCTTCCAGACAAAACATGGCTGATATCATTTGGCTACCTTTTCCAGAAGAAAAAGGCTTTGATATTTTAAAAAAAACATACTAAAGAATGGGAAGAAGGAGCTGTGGTTAAACCACAAAGCAGCAGAGAAAAAAATTTGGGGAGTGACTTGAATGGCTACCTATTAAAACAGTGCAGGGTCAGCAGAAGAATGAATACAAGGGTACAGAAGAGTATAGAAACAAACCCATGTGTATCAAATAATTTCCAAGTCAGGTTATCCAAGTCTGTATTTGAACACCCTAACTATGGACTCTGGACAAGTTTTTCAGCCACTCTGGGTCTCGATTTCCCCACTGAGGATTGATCCAGTAACATGGGAATGATAATAATAGTACCCCCTTATAGGGTTATTATGAGAAATGCATGAGATAAGTCATGTTAAGACTGTGCCCGAAACACAGTAGGCAACTGGCAAATGTTAGCTATGGTTCATTATTGGTTTTTGTTACTCGTTCAAGTCATTGGGGGAAATGATATGTTATTCAGAATTCGTGTTGAGAAAACTGGCTGACCGTTTAGAACACAGTAATTAAAAAAAAAGAATACAGTGATTTTGATCATTAGAGCTTATACTATATTTAAATCTATATACATATAAATAAATATATAAGTAAATATAAATAAAATACTATATATAAATGTAAATAAAATCCAGAGAGATTAAAGACTTAAATGGAAACCTAAAGGAGTTAGAACAAAGGGTAAGTGAATCCTTATCTAAAATATTTATCTCAAGGGGCACCTGGGTGGCTCAGTGGGTTAAAGCCTCTGCCTTCGGCTCAGGTCATGATCTCAGGGTCCTGGGATCGATCCCTGCATCGGACTCTCTGCTTGGCGGAGAGCCTGCTTCCTCCTCTCTCTGCCTGCCTCTCTGCCTTCTGCCTACTTGTGATCTCTGTCTGTCAAATAAATAAATAAAATCTTTAAAAAAATATATTTATCTCAAGCAGGTACCAATTGTCTAAGTGTATTTACTAATGCAGAAACCCTAATGCTCCAATCATGGGATCTGCTGCTGTTTCTACCACAGAGCCACTTGCTAAAAGATCTTGCCTGGCCTTGACTTCAAGTTATCATCAACTATACATTGCGAGCTCTGTCTTCCTCATATGAAGTTCCCTGTTCTCTGCTCATCTCTGTTCGACTTGAGTTTGCTCTTCAAGTTTTCCTAAAGATCACCTGCTATGGTTCTCCATCTCACTTGCACATTTAAGAACCTGCTAGAATGTGCTTCATCTGGGTCAGAAGGCTTTAATTTATGTGAATCAGTTAGCTCTTCTCCTGCTTTTATTTTTTTATTTTTTTATTTTTTTTTAAGATTTTATTTATTTATTTGACAGACAGAGATCACAGGTAGGCAGAGAGGCAGGCAGAGAGAGAGGAGGAAGCAGGCTCCCCGCTGAGCGGAGAGCCCGATGCGGGGCTCGATCCCAGGACCCTGAGATCACGACCTGAGCCAAAGGCAGAGGCTTTAACCCACTGAGCCACCCAGGCGCCCCGCTCTTCTGCTTTTAAAATGTCCCCTCACAAACCAACAAGACAGAAGCAAAGTAGGAGTTGATGGACCTGACTTTCTCTTGACCATCCACCAGCAGGACACATTCACCTGAAACAATGGGCCCACACAACTATCCCTTACTATGAATGTAAATATTGGAAAATCTTTTTTTTTTAATTCTGCATAACATGGCTCCAGGGATTTTTGGCTCCAGGTATGATTCTTGCTGGTATAGGTCTCTTGGTCTACTCTGTGTATGTGCTCTTTGAAAATCAGAGTCAGTGCAACCGAGAGCCCTCACAGGGTAGCCACACAAGATTTCTTTAGGGACTTTCCCAGTTAATTCCTCACTGAGAAAATTTATAGCTGGCCAATTCAAATTACATTTTTTTCAAGCTTTGCCATCTTCTGGTTACCCTCCTTCTCATGGTTTCATGCCATAAATTCATGCTTATTTTTCTTCTGAGTCACTTGTAGAATATTCTTTTGGAAACTTGAGTGAATCATGTATTAAATCAGATTCGCAGTGACTCATTCTTGGAGAGAGTAAATCCATTAGGTTAAATGCTGCCACTCTCTTCAGGGTGGCTCCCAGAGGAGGTACAGGGTTCATGAGGCGTGACAGGGCTTCTCCGGGCTTCGCTTTGAACTCTTCCACTAATGCAAATATCACAGGTGCTGAAGAGAACGTTAGAAAGACTCCATGCCCACTCTCAAGCTTCTGGACAGCTTGAGAACGTCCTGTAGCTATGGACATTTTTTCATGAATTTATATGAGCAGGGTCATTTCCTGAAAGCAATAATCCTGTTCTCCAAAAGGTACAAAGAATTTGCACCACGATGTTTAGTTAGTGTGTTAAATTCCTCTCTGCTAGCCTGAGGTCTCCTCACTTGAGTTCTATGCAGAGTGGGAGATGACAAAGGAGATCAAAGTAGGAAATTAATTTAGAGATACAGAACACCTCATGAATCAGCAACATTTTTGAATTCATTTTCTACTGCAGCCTAACAAATCACCATAAACTTAGCAGCTAGTCCCCACTCATAACCTCGTAGTTCTGTGGGCCAGCAGTTCTGGCACGTTGTGAGTGGGTCCTCTGTTCAGCATCTTCCAAGGCTAAAATCAGTATGTCAAGTGGGCTGCATTCCCCTCTGGAGCCTCTGGGGGAAGAATCTGCTTCCAAATCCTTTGCAGTTGCAGGACTGAGGTCCCCATATTCTTACTTGGTGGCCAGCCATCGGCCACTCAGCTCCGACTGGCCAACCACATGTCTGCCATGTGGTTCCTTCCACCTTTGAAAACAGCAGGAGAAACCCTTATTTATGTCAGACTCATCTCGCCCTTTGAATCTCCAATCTCCTGTTTCTGAACTCTAGATCCAGATTTAAAGGGCTCATGTGAGGGACAGATGCATCTGGACAATCTCCCTCCTTGGGACCTTAATTACATCTTTGAATCCTTTCTCAGCAACACTTACAATAGCTTTTGAATGAGTAACTGAGAGGAGGTGGGTGTATACCAGTGGCCAGGAATTTGTGAGGCCACATTGTAATTCTCCCAACCACAAAGATGAAGATTTAAAGTATGCGTGTGCATGTTTGTGTATGTGTGGGTGCATACCGGTGCATAGCCTACACAAACACATACACACTAGGCTATATCTTGATGTACATCTTCTCTGCCTCACTTAAATATTGCACTTACTGTGCTTCATTTTTCATCCGACCCTACTGCTGGTTGACCAGTAATACTCCAACTCAATTCATTAAATTCTGATTAGGCACTGATGTGTGCCAGGCACGGGTCCCGTTCTTCAAGTGCTCTCCCTCAGCGGTATGAAATCTACTGAGAAAAGACAAGTGCACCAGTTGCCCTAGAATATAGCAGAATGTCTAGAGAGAGGGAGGGAGAAAGAGAGATCCTGCCCCAGGATCTCTCTTGGAGAGATCCTCTCTCTGGAGGAAATATAAAAGGCTTCAGAGAGGACACTGCATTTGATTTTAACCTTGACAAACAGGTGGGATTATAATAAGCTAATAAACAGAGATTACAGGAAGGTTATAGGGCAATCTGGGTAGAAATAAATAGGTAATGTATGAACAAAGACATTGAGGAAAGTAAGAAAAGACCATAACCAGAGAAGATCGGACACATCACTTTGAATGGAGAAGATGAGAGGCAACTAGAAGGGTATACTGGTGTCAGACTGAGGCCTTAGAAGCCAATCTAAAATGTAACAGAGAACTTTGGGAAGAACCATCAGGAGAAATAACCAAATCAATGCTGCAATTTAGAAATATGAGTCAGACATGTAGGCTGGAGTAAAGAAGGAGCCCTGAACACCATGGTGGGAGAGAAGAAAGGAGGCTCTTCCAGCTGTCTGTGCTACAGATATAAAGGCCTGTGCTCAGGGGGTGAACCCAGACATGAGATGGGCATACCCTAGGTGTAAAATGTGGGCTGAAAGGGAAAGGGGAGCAGTCACTAATGAGTCAGGGGTTTGACCCCTATGACGGAAGAGTGTTCTGTGAGAACAGTTTGTGATCATCTCACATACATCAAATGACCTTCCCTTGTGACTCAAGAAATCAGAGTCAGTACTTTGTGGCTAGAAGGGATCTGAGAGATCTAGGTAAGAGGCAGCTGAGAACCAGCCAAGTTAAATATAATTTCAAAGACACTTGGCTGAGGAGTAGCAAGGCTCAAGCAAGGAAGTCCAGGCCTTTGCCTTTCCCCTCAAACCAACTGCTGGTTCCCTGGTAGTCATCACAAAGATCTGCTGGGGGCAATCTACATAAGGTAAATAACAGAATTCGCCACTGGGCAAAGGTGAGAATGGGGCAGGTGCTTGGCATGGATGAACTGGAACAAGTTCAGGACTAATCTGGATCCTAGTTCTCTCCAAACTACTTTCTGAGATGGCAGTCTCCAACATTTCTGCAAAGGGGGACTACCAGAGGTGAGTGCACAACAGGTGGATATGTATGTCAGAATTGCCTTCAGCATTTTAAAAAAAAGTGGGCTTCTCCATTATCTCTAGAGCCTTCCAATAGTTTGAATGCAAAGGTTTGAGCTCTCTTTCAACACTGGTTCTTGGGCTGAGGAGGGTAAAGAAGGCACTACCATAAGCCACTTAGATGTGTCCAAAGCAAAATCCTTCCTGTTAATTTTATCACAGTAGCCAGCTCTTTGGCAATTTCTTCCACCAGTTAGAGTGTTTTCTAATCATATCAAACAGCTCCTGAAACCAGTGGATTCTGGAAGCTCTTTCTGTGCCTGTCCAGGAGGCTTGTACATTCCATTCTTCTGATAAAAGCACCTCTTTCTGTGTAGAAACTGCATTCCCACCCTTAGAGCCTTAGGGAATGCATTGGCTGAAAAATGTCCAAATATTGGAACAAGTGGTTGTTTCTTGTGGCCTTCACTTAAATTCCAAGACAGGAAGCTTGGCCTATCTGCACACATTAGTGTAACAGCACTCACCTCTGTGAAGGGAGACCCTCACCAATTATGCTAAGTAAAATAAGTCAGACAGAGAGAGGCAAATACTATATATGATCATAGTTATACATGGAATCTCAAAAGGCTGAACTCTATATAGAAATAGAGAGTAGAATGGTAGTTGCCAGGGTCTGGGGGGGTGGAGAGAAATGGGGAGATGTTGGCCAAGGGGTACAAACTTCTAGTTACAAAATGAACAAGTACTGGGGATCTAATATTCAACATGGTAACTATACTTAACAATACTGTATTATAAGACTGAAAGTTCCTAAGAGAATAGATCTTAAATGTTCACACACACACACAAATATATACACAATAATTATGTGAGGTGATGGAGATATTAACTAACCTTATTTTGGTACTGATTTTTCAATACAAATCAAATCATCACACTGTACACATTAAACTCAATGTTACATAAGTTATATCTCAAGAAAGTAGAGGGGGGGATGGGGGAGACCCTCGCCGCCTGGCAACCACAATCCAAGATGGCTGATGGTCAGGTAATGTGCCTTGCCCAATAGGAAAGCCACCTCCTCTGCTCTTATTGAAGTTGGTGTGAGTAGAGATAAAAAGATGGGAAATAAGATTAGAAGACAAGCAGACAAATGAAGGAAGCCTAATTCTCTAGGTCCCTCCCAATCATTTCCTGCTGAGCACCCTCTACTGACAAGGTAACAGATCCCCCATTGTAAAGTGCCCTTTGTTGGAATCCTTCTGGAAGCAGGGTTATGTGGGCACTTCCTCACCACAGCAGCCTATTGTTTCACGCTGCACTGAGGTAAGGGGCAGGATGTAACGGGTTAAACTGATACTCCAAGCTAAGAGCAAAATTCCTCAGGCTGTTGCCAGGACTCATAAACCACAAAGAAAAGGTCCAGATGCAAAGGTCATAAACTTGACAAGATTTCTGGTATTAGCTACAAACTCATGGAATTCCTGGGAATCGAATCCACTGGCTGGTTGCCTGTTGGTTGAAAGAAATGTACTGCCAGGGAAATCCCACGTCTGGCAAACACCAAGCCACGATTGCTCAATCCCTGAGGCAGTTCTCCTCCCTGCTGGACAACTGCCCAGGCGAGGAAGAAGCACTCGATTGACCTCCTCCCTGCTGCATCTTATGCACAGACAGCTTTGGAGGAAAGGGATAGGGCACTTTCCCAGGAAAAAACTGAGGCGGCCCAACTAAGTAACCAAGTGACTCACTTTACCACCAGCCAGGGGATGCTTGCTCTTCCCATCCAACAGGATGTGGTCCTTGTTCTGGGCCCCCTGTTCACTGCACCGCACTATCTTTCTTCCTTGCTAACTGGTGTGCTTATCCAGTCCCCCCTTTCACATTACGGACTGTGGTTTGAGAATGCTTACGTCTGGCACTTAGTTACCGATTGCTAGCGGATCATGAGAAGTCCACCTGCATTGGATCAAGAGGACTGGACACCCCCAGCAATCCTGGTCACGGAGCTGGATGCAGTAACAGACCCACCTTTGAGTTGTCTTCCAACTGAGTTCCACTTTTGGTTGTTCAGAGGATAATTCTCCCATAATGGGGGGTGTTTTTCCTAAATGTGGGGCAGCCTGGGTGGTGCAGTTGGTTGGGCACCCAACTCTTGGTTTCATCTGGGGTCTTGATCTCGGGGGTGTGGGATGGAGACCCACGACAGGCTCCCAGCTCAGCATGGAGTCTGCTTAGGACTCTCTCTCCATCTCCCTCCACCCCTCTCCACCCCTGCACCCTCTCTCTCTCACTCCTTCCCACTCTTCAAATAAATAAATAAAACCTTTTAAAGAAAATTATACATGTATGGGTGTGCCCATGCTAAGCAGCTAAAAGGCTCAGAGTAGTGGACTGTTGTGGCTCTTTGAACTGGTCTGCCAACATGTTTTTCTGTGCCTCTTTTCCTGATGGGGATCGTGTCCACCTCTCGATGCAATCCTGGGGAGGCTGTCAATCACACTGATTTGCCCTCAACCAGCCATATGAGTAAGCCCCGAATCCAAGGTAGGCTGTTCATAGTGCCTCTAGAGTACCCTAGGAGGGGTACTCGTCATCCCACAGACGGTCACTTAATCTAGGAGGAAAGATTTTTTCCCTGAATTGAAAAACCTTCTGTTCCCACTGAAGTTGCTAAACTGGGCAGCTGGTGGCCGTCCCTCTCCCTCACATGGCTTACTGTAGAAGAAAACAAAGGCAACTCGGAAGCTGAGAGCAGACAAAGGCAGAGTGTCCCACTCATAGTCAAGTCCCAAGTGTCAGTTCCTGGAATCCTGGTGACGTCCCTCTGGGGCCAGGTCCATAAGCTCCCCACCCCCCATCCTTTTCAGCTATGGATTTTTTGCTTAAACTAGTATGAGATGGGTTTCTGTCACCTGTGACAACTTAAAAAGAAATCTCATTAACATAAACTTGATGCTGCAGACTGGAGAGAAGGAAGGACAGGATGCTTAGGCAGAAAATGGCTTTACCTTTCACTTGAGCCCAAACCGCACAGGAGCATCTTCTCACCTATAAAGAGAAACACAGCGACACATTTAACGAGGCAGCACAGAACATCAGTTCAAATAATACACTGCAGCCCGGAAAGTTTAGTGGGTTTTTTTCTGTCTTAGTTTGGATTAAAATATCCTCCTCTAGCTCTAACATCTTATAATTGAGCCATGTGGTGACTAAGCATTGGAGGGATTAGTGTGGGTAGCAGTGACAGAAGTGACTTTAGGGATCAATTCTGCAGCTTTTCAACAGATCTCAGAAAGCATACACTATGGGTAAACAACAGAAATGGCCATGAGTTTCATTCTCCTTGCCAGCTCTGAGCAACTGTCACTGACTGCCTACCAAGGGTGTTGAAAAAGATTCTGAGGTCCCCTCCCAAGTCCCATCCATGATGTCCCATCCATGTGAGGTCCCATCCACGTGACTGTGACAGTGATGCCCGCGATAGGCAAGGCTATGGGAAGGCTTCGTAAATAATACTTTACCTGTTCAGAGGATACTTATCTGGCCAACACCTACAGACTCGCTGAAATGAGATACCTTCTTTCCTTCTCCCCCAGTTCTTCTATGCATACTTGTCTGTTAGGAACACTGGGATTACTCAGCAAAATGTTCCCCGGAGGAAACTAAATAGCAGGGGTCAGGAAAGATCTCTCCAACTTTAAAAGGAGATTCTCTTTCCAGTGAACACCTTGGGTAATCTGGTTTTATTAACATTGAAAAAAAAAATAGATTTACCCTGAAAAATGCTGGGGAAAGCTTGAAATGGCCGGAAGCTCTTGAATGTGACTAAATTTTGCCTGGGTGCCAAGTGCCTCAAGGGCATCTAGTGGAAAATCATAGGCAAGAATAACCAGTGAAAGGGACCTCAAGTAGTTGGGCAGGCACTACGGAACTGACTGTACTGAAGAGAGAAACTGGTGGGCCAGGTGAAGAAGGAAGTGCATTAAAATAGAGTGTCGTAACCAGATTTACCTTTTAAGACCCTCATTCTGGCAGTTGTATGGAGTGAAGAGACAGAATAAGAGACAGGAAGATGAATTAGAAAATTGATGTTCAAAAAAAAAAAAAAAAAGAAAGAAAGAAAGTTGATGTTCAGGCAAGAGATGCCAAAGGTTAAACATGGTTAAGGAAGAAGAAGAAAGGATAATTTTACACAGTTATGAAGGTGATAGAATTGACAAAATTTGATGTGCACTAGACAAGAAGATAAAGAGGGAGAAGACAAGAATGATTCCTTGATTTCTGTCTTAGCAACTGGGAGCATGGTGATGCTATTTCCTGGGACAGATACACAGAAGGAAAGACAAACTGGGAGAATCAGAAAAACAAAGTTCGTGGTGTCAAATTTTACTACAAAGCTGAAGTAATCAAAACCAGGTGGTGCTGGCATTAAGACAGACATATAGACCAATATAGTAGAATGGAGTCCAGGGATCAACACCTGCATGTGTCAAATAATTTTTGACAAGGGTGGCCAAGAACATTCAATGAGAAAAGGAAATCTTTTCAATAAATTGTGCTGGGAAAACTAGATATCCACGTCCAAAAGGATGAAGGGGGACCCCGACCTAATACCACACACAAAAACTAACTCAAAATGGATCAGATCCAAATATAAGACTCAGAACAGAAGAAAACGTGGAGAAAAGGCATCAGCAAATTGGATTTAGCCATGATTTCTTGGATAGGACATCAAAGGCATGAGTAGCAAAAGGAAAAAAAGACAAACTGGACTTCATCAAAATTAAAAACTTCTGAGGATGTGAAGCAAAAACAATGTCCGTGCACTGTTAGTGGGATGCAAATCAGTGCGGCCACTGTGGAGAACAGTAGGCAGGGTCTTCAAAAAATTATAAATAGAACTAACTAGTAATGTCATTACTGGGTGTTTATCCAAAGAAGAGGAAAACACTAAATTGGAAAGATACACACACCTCTATCTTTACTGCAGCATTATCTACAATAGCCAAGATATGGAAGCAATTCAAGTGTCCATGGATAGATGAATGGATAGAGAAGATGTGGTGTCTATATACACAATGGAATATTACTGAGCCATAAAAAGGAATGACATCTTACCATTTGCAATGACATTAATGGACCTAGAAGATATAAGACTAAGTGAAATGAATCAGAGAAAGACAAAGACCATATGATTTCACTCATGTGTGGTATTTAAGATATAAATTTTAAAAAAGAAACAACAATAACAAACCAGACTCTTAAATATAGAGAATAAACTGGTGGTTGCCAGAGGGGAGGTGAGTGGGGAGATGACTGAAATAAATGAAGTGAATTAAGAGGACACGTATCACAATGAGCACTGAGTAATATACGGAATTGTTAAATCACTATATTGTACACTTGAAACTAATGTAACACTATATGTTAATTACACTGGAATTAAAAAACAAAGATGTTGGAATGTTAAAAAAAAATAAGGAACTTTTGTACATCAAAGGACATTTATTGACAGAGTAAAAAAGGCAACCCACGGAATGGGAGAAAATATCTGCACACTGCAAATCTCTTTAGGGATTAATATCCAGAATATATAGAGAATTCCTAACACCTAGCAACAAAGAAATAAATAACTCAATTCCAAAATGGGCAGAGGATTTGAATAACCATTTTCCCAAAGAGGATATACAAGTTGTCAAAAGCACAAGAAAAGACACTCAACATTGCTAGTCATTAGAGAAACAGAAGCCAAGACCACAAAGAGATACCATCTCACATCCATTAGAAGGCCCATTATCAACACAGAAAACAGCGGGTCTTGGGGAAGATGTGGAGAAAATAGAATCCTTGTGTACTGTCGGTGAGAATGTAAAATGGTACCGCTGCTCTGGAAACTAGTGTGGCAGTTCTTCAAAAAAAACAAAAACAAAACAAAAACCAAAGAGAATGATCGCATGATCCAACGATTCCAAGTGTAAATGCCCCAAAGAATTGAGAGTGGGGACTCACAGAGATATTTGTACACCCATGTTCATTGCAGCCTTATTCAAAATAGTCTGAAGACGGAAGCAACCCAAGTGTCCAACCACAGATGAATGGCTAAACAAAATGGTGTGTACACACAGAGTAGAATATTAAAAAGGGAAGAAATTCTGACACAATGCTACACCATGGGTGAACTTTGAGGACATGAGGCTAAATGAAATAAGACAAATAATGTATGATTCTACTTATATGAGGTACCCGGAGTAGTCGAATTCCCAGAGACAGAAATTAGAAGAGTAGTTGCCAGGGTTTGGGGGAGGCAGGGAGAAGAGAGTCCCTGTTCAATGGCTACAGTGTTTCAGTTTGGCAATATGAAAGGGGTTCTGGAGACGGCATGCACAACAACACGAATGGACTTAACGCTAATAAACTGTACACCTAAAAACTGTTTCTATGGTAAATCTTGTTATACGCATTTTACCACCATTAAAAATAAAAATTGAAAATAAACCACTACTAGATGCTCTGGAATTAAATGGTGGTAATGGTTGTGCCATTTTGTGAATACACTAAAAACCACTAAATTGTATACTTCATTTTTTTTTCACCATCTTAACCATTTTATTAAAAAAATTTTTTATATGGGTATAGTTGACATGCAACATTACATTAGTTTCAGGTGTACCACTTAGTCATTTGACAAGTTTATAAAAGATGCTATGTTCACCACCAAGGTAACTACCATCTGTCCCATTATATCACTATCACCATATCATTAATGATACTCCTTATGCTATAAATTATATACTTCAAATGGCTGATTAATATGGTGTATGAATTGTAGCTCCATAAAACTCTTCAAAAAAGAAAAATAATTAGTTCACTACTAATTTTAATATGACTGTAATACTAATAGATTGGAAACCCATAGGGGAAGTAAATGCAATTCAAAACTGCAAGTCCCAATATAAATTTTTTCACAACCCCTTCGCCTCCTTAGCCTCCCAAAGACCAAGCACATGTTCTGCTAAGCTATATGAAAAAGAGGTATCCATGACATCACAGAAAAGTTTCCCATAAACTAGGATTCTTATCCTAACCTCTCAATTATCTGTGTTATGGATTGGATGTTTGGGTCACCCAAAGTTCATATACTGAAGACCCAGCCCCCAGTATGATGGTACTTGGGAGTAGGGCCTTTGGAAAGTAATGAGGTTCAGCTGAGGTCATGAGGGCAGGGACTCCGTGATGGGATCAGTGTCCACATAAGATGAAGAAGACTGACCAGAGCTGGACTGCACGCTTTCTATCATGTGAGGACACAGCAAGATGGCCGCTGTCTGAAAGCCAAGAAGAGGGCCTTACCAAGGAACCACGTCAGCTGGCACCTTAATTTTAGACTTCTCATCTTCCAAAGCTGTGACAAATACATTTCTGTGGTTTAAGCCACCCAGCCTATGGTATTTTGTTATGGCAGCCCATGTGTCCTCGTGTACCTCTTAGACCAAAGCCCCAATCTGGGACGGCAGCTCTCTGAGCACTCTCTACACTGTACTAATGTACTAATGTTGTACAGCTAGTGCTAGATCTGCGGCTAGAAATGCCAAGGCAGGATCTCTAGCTAAGCGAGAAGGCCCTGTTTGAGTCATAAACACCTTTTAAACAAGTTCAGGGAAATATATTCTGGGCTTTAGCCTGCCAATTCTTAATTCCTACGTTATTGTCACAAAATACTACCAAATCTCTTTGCTACTTGTACATATTCTTTTCTTTTTTTACTAGTACATATTCTTAAAAGTAACCGCTGGTTTACCATCAAGCATGATAATGGCGCATTAGACTGGTGTCCTACACAGAACTTAACAGAGTATGTGTCAGTTTTAAATATGGTATGGGGACACCTGGCTGGGTCAGTCAATTAAGCATCTGACTGTTGATCTCAGCTCAGCTCTTGACTTCAGGGTTGTGAGTTCAAGCCCTGGGTTGGGAAGGAAAGAAGGAAGGGAAAAAGGAAGGAAGGAAGGAAGGAACCTTACACTCAAGATGGCTTCAATTCATCAGTCAAGTGATGTTTCTATTAATATAATTTTCTTCTAGTTTCCATTCCCAGTCTATATGAATTTATATCATACTTTGAGTTCTCCTGGGGCAACCATCACAATGGTTCTTCTAGATCTTTCACCCGACTCACTGATTCAGCTCTTGCTATCCTGCTTGTCCAGCTCACTATCTTTCCTCACGATGCAATGACTCCATAGTTCTGGTCTCATGAAAGAACCACCCCTGGAATAAGGTAGGCTTTCTAAGGATGAGGAGAGGTGGGTGTGGCCAAAGCAGTCAAGAAAGCAGAAAATAGGGCAGCACTGACGTTCAAGGAGAAGCCTCTCCTTCCTGCTTCCGAGAGGGTGCAGGGAGGCAGCAGCCTGGCAGCAGCACAGGGAAGTGACACTTCAGACCATCAACCTCCTTAAAGGTCTCACCAGCCCATAATTTATGCAGGCAAAGTATTCAACACATTTTTCTGTTTGGTACATGCGGTGTCCATCTCAAATACTGGGGAAACAAATGTTCAAACGTCTACATTTCACAGGAAGAAGAAAATAGAGAATTCATGAGTTTTTAAAGAGGTGTACCTTATTCCATTCACTTGTGATTCGCAGTATGATGCAGTAATCATTCCCTTTTTTCAAAGGTGCATTATAGTATTTCCCGTAGTACAGCCTGTCTCCAATAGACATCTCCATGGCGTCATCTGGAACATCTTTGGCCAGTAGTTCTGCAGCCACATACCCTTCAGCATCAGAAGTGTTGCTAAAGAATGAGGCAGCCCCTTCAGAATCACAAAAAAAGGTGCTTTGGAGCGTCAGGGGAAGCACTAACACCTGATATGAACTGAAAAAAAGGAAAGAAAAAGAAAAAAGAAAACGTCTATCAAACCCTTGCTTGGGAGAGTCATTCATTCAATTATTCACATTTACTGAGCACCTGCTATGAGCAAAACACTTTTGCGGGCACTGGAGACACATCACCAGACAAGAAAAAGTCCCTGCCCCTGGGGGTTGGGGGGGTGCGGATTTACAGTCTGGGAGTGCCAACACTTAGGGAACTCCAGTCTGGATCTCCAGTGCTAATGCCACACGACGCGATGTGAGTCGTCAGGTTCCGCCACAGATAGATGCCAGGTAAACCCTCTTTAGACAGGAGGGGCTGCTCCACGTACAGCTACCCAGAGAGGGCACGCTGTACACCTCCTCTCAACAGCGGTTTCCACATGGGCAAAAAAAAAAAAAAAAAGCCCAGCTGTGGAAAGGGTTTAGCAGTCACAAGGAGGCTGCCTGCCTACAAGCGTTAATGTACTAAGCCTGCAGAAAGGCTCAATCACATGGTAACCTGAAATGGAACTCATGTGACCTGCATTCCTTCCAGGGCCCAGATACCAAAGTTCATGTGAAATAAATGAGAAGCAAGAAGCGCCAAGTCACTGTGCGTTAATCTAGTCCGACCATGTCCTGAAATAGCCAGAAAGGTAAGATGTCATGTGTACATTGTGAAACTGTCCCTTGAACATGGACAGAGAAGCACACCAGCCAGCAAGTATCCTTCTGTGTTTTGTTGTTGATTCTACCAAACACAAACCCTGTCAGTGAAAGGAGGTGTAAGAATAAAAACACCAAGTACGAATCATGCCTCCTTTTTCATCCCCTTCCTTCCGTCCTTCTGTCCTGCCTCCAGGAGAGCACGTGCCTAAACATCTGCTTTCTCTATCAGGCCTGACATCAGGGATCTAAGGGACTTACTCCTGTACCCTTGCAAACCCTTACCCAGGTCTTTGGCTGAGGCCAACTCCCCACTAATGTTTCTTGAGTTGATGTTTCCGTAAAGAGGAAAAACATGCATGAGTACCAAAGATGATTAGGGTCATTTCCAAACCATGAGGCCACATAATCTATTTTACTAGTAAGTATACAACTTCCTATTCCACATTCTTAATGCCCCATCTCCTGCTTCCTAAAAGACCATGAGTCACTAGGTTAAGAAAAGGGAGCCCTCCATGGCAGTATGTCCTTGACTTGGAAAGTCTCCATCCCAAACATCCTATGTGTCTTCGGGGCCCTGATTTCCACCAAGTCTGGGCTCACTTTCCAGGAAAGAGCTTTCCACAAAAAGTAAAAGGTCAAGCCTGCAGGGCGGGGAGCTGCTGCTGCCACCACCAGTAAACATCTCCAAAGCATCCACCACCTACAAGGGAATGCTTGTGACGATACGCTTCCCTGGAGACTTGAAGACATCCCTAGGAATCATGGCTGCAGGTAAGGGAGTAAATGGTGTGGAAGCTCCATGCTGTCTTCAAACTCCTCTTCCAATCCATCTTGCCTTGTGGATGGTGGCGTTCAAGGGCAACTTCAAGCCTCACCTTTGGTTCTGGACATTAGAGGCACCATTCATGGGGCATAAAGCAGTCTCCCCAGTCAGCATGATCATAACCACCTATGCTGCTTGATAATGACACAGATTTCCAGCCCCCATTCCAGACCTAATGAATCGAAATCTCCAGGAGCTGAGTCTGAGAATTTGTACTGCTGATAAGGCACCCCAGGTTATTTCTATAAGTTGGCAATTGTGGGAGACACTAGCATGACGAGAGCCCAGGAACAGAATGCATCATTCACCCGAGATCACCAAGCTAAGGAGGGGGGGGCTTTGGTCCCAGGGCCCTGTTCCACCATGTGCCCCACACCCCTGCCCCCCTCCCCGAACAATGTAGAAAGCAGACTCGGGCCTCTCCCTCACTGGCAAAGCTGCTCCCCCAGCTCAAACCAGGTAGTCAGGGAGGAGGAAACTGCTCCATCTGCCTGTTGGTAATTAACCCCGATGACGTTAGGGAAGCAGTTGTGGCTGTTTGGATGACTGTTCTGGAAAGACTTCTCCCCTCTTTCTCACCGCCACCCTCCCTGGAATGACTCACAGATCTCCACTTCCTGTTTTGGAGGCACTGGAGGGCACATTAGCCACAAGGATAGACTATCATCTAGCTTCTTTTTTTTTTTTTTTTTTTTTGGCCTTACATAATTATTTGGCCTACATATTACATTTGCTCTTGCAAAGTCTCTCGGGCAGTGATATCATAACTTCTGTTCTCCTCATAGCAACAGAATGGCAGGGCCTTCCAGTAACTCATCAGGAACCAAGGAATAGAACAACGTAGGCAATATCCATGCCTGGAAAAACCTTTGAGAACTTAGTGAACTTAAACTAATGGAAAGACAGGAAAAGCCAAGTTTCACTATCAAGAGATACACAGAGGCGCCTAGGTGACCTAGTCAGTTGAGTGAGTTCAAACCCCACACTGGGCTCCACACCACGCATGGAGCCTACTTAAAATTAAACAAACAAATAAAAAAGAGACAAATAGATAATATACCCAGACTTTCTTTTTTATAATTTTATAGTATCTGCTTGAATATACTAAAGGGTCATTAGACTAACAGGTCAAGAATGACATAAGGCAATGAAGGTTAGGTCAAGGATGGCAAGGTTATTGCCATGTCCTTGCCTTATTCCTGTGAGCAGTTATTCCTGTGAACCTCCTGAGAGGTTCCAGAGGAACCTCTATCTTCCTTTCTAAAAAAAAAAAAGGAATAATTCTGCTTTTCTAATCCAGGCATGACCCTGTAAATAAAATGCTTAATGGAACGCAATGTAGTTCTCCAATTCAGGTGAATTAATTCTATCCTAATACCATCTGGAATCCCAGAAACAGTCATTAGCTACATAGTGTCTTGCCCAATAACTCAATGTGTAGACGAATTAAGAGAATTATCCGAATGAGCCTTTCAGATCCACTACACAAAAATCATCTTTAAATGAAATGCTGCTCCTGGTCCACCATCACCGAGAGACACCGAGGTGAGTGTAAAGGATTAACGCCTTACACATCACGTGCAATCAGTGCTTGTCCGGCCAGTGACCAAAGAAAGGAAGGGATTTCATTTGTCGAGCTAAGCTGTCCGAATGCCTATCTCTGGCCCCTTAAGAGTCTCCCTATTCATTTGGAAGGATGCTGGTTGGAACTAAAGGCCCAGTCTGTGTCCAAGGAATCACAGACAAGAGTCCCTGATTGCCCTGCCCCAACCATTCAAGTGCAGCACCTCAGAAGCCCCCTCCTCCATCAAACCAAAGCTTCCAAGACTCTCCGTGAGAACATCCAGGCCACCACAGGAAAGGGGCCACTACCTACCTGATAGGTCCATTTTTCTCCTTGGCTTTCCTCAGTTTCAGACGGGGTAGAGGCCCTCCATGCACTGTGACAAAGTCTACTTCCGGAGGGGGAGGCTCTGAAAACAAATCGGAAAGAGGAAAAGGGTGTGATTGGAATGAGTGGAAGCATGACGAAAGTGGTCCTCACAGGACCATCGCAAGGGAAGTTTGAATGTAAGAAGCGATGAGTGTTTTCGGACACCTGCTACCACACGGACGAGTCCTGAAAACATGCTACGTGAAATGAGCCAGACTCTGAAGGATGATCCCTCTCCTGTGCAACATCTGGAACAAACTCACAGACCCAGAAGTAGGTTAGAGGCTGCTGAGGACTGAGGGGTGGGTAGGCAAGGGGGAGTTTGTTGCTTAATGATCAACAGTTTCCGTTTGGAGTGACGACAAGGTTCGAGAAATTGACAGTGGTGAGGGTTTACAACATTGTGAAGGGACTTGATGCCAATAATCTCTGTGCCAGAAAATGGCTGAATGGTACATTTTATGTTATATATGTTACACAATGGTTTGTGGTTTTTTTTTTTTAAGTGATGCCCCAGTGCTGACAGAGGGCGCACACAGTGGGGCTGACAGTTAACGTGCTGGACAGGTTCCTATTTGGCGGGCAAGACCTGCATTTCTAACTTCTAGATCCTTTCCAGTCACAGAACATTCTATCCTTATTTTGTTCTCCCCAGCAACCAGATATCCCAAATAGACCTTCTACTGAGAGGGGACTGTATCAGCTGACGCCAGTGTTCAAGAATCTAACCGGTAGTTACGTTCATAGTATGAACACATGGTGTGCCATTCTGCCTTGTGGGCACCTCAGCTCAGGTGCACTGGGCACTCACCAAATGCACTAGCTGTGTCCTGCACAGGCCTCATCTCATATAATCTTCTCAACACTGCTATCAAGTGAATGAGATTTATAGAGGGAGAAAGGAAGAGAAAAAGACAAAGAATAAAATAGGAATGCCCCCCCCCCAGGTATTATAGAAGACTGATGAATTGCTGAGCTCTATCTCTGAAACTAATAATACATTAAATGTTAATTGAATTTAAATTAAATTTTTTTAATTTTAAAAAATTTTAAATATTAAAATTTTTAAAATTTTAAAAAAATTTTTAATATTTAAAATATGAGCCCCTTCCCCCTACAACACTGGTCTTAAAATCTACTACAGTGAAATTAAGGACTAGGAGACCAAGATAAATACTCAAGACTTCATTTACCCAATTTGGAAATAACCTTGGGGGGCGGCACCTGGGTGGCTCAATTGGTTAAGCATCTGGGCAGCTCAGGTCATGATCCCAGAGTCCTGGGATAGAGCTCTTCGTAGGCTCCCTCTGCCCCTCCCCCCAACTCATTCTCTCTCTCTCCCTCTCTCAAATAAATAAAAATCTTTAAAAAATAAAAATAATTAAGAAAATAGACTTGGGGTAGAAATTCCCAATCCATATTATGATAAATAAAAACTTATACCTTCCTACATAATTTGTGGGGTTTTGGGGAGGGGTGGGACAGAGGATGAGGAAAAGAAAATCTTAAGCAGGCTTCATGCCCAGTGTAGAGCCCCACACAAGGCTTGATCTCAGGAGCCTGAGATCATGACTTGAGCTGAAATCAAGAGTCAGACACTTAAGCTGAGACACTGAGCCACCCAGGTGCCCCTAACTGCCTAGTTTTTTATTTAAAAAATTTTTCTTAAAGATTTTATTTATTTATTTGTCAGAGAGAGAGCACAACCAAGGGGAGTGGCAGGCAGAGAGGAGAAGCAGGCTCCCTGCAGAGCAGGGAACCCAATTTGGGACTTGATCCCAGGACGCTGGGATCATGACCCGAGCTGAAGGCAGACGCTTCACTGACTGAGCCACCCAGGCGTCCCAGATAGTTTTTTAAAGACAATCAAATATGATGGTTGCCAGAGGGTAGGGGTTTCAGGGTCGACAAAATAAGAGAAAGCGATTAAGAGTTAAAATCTTCTGGTTATAAAATAAATAAGACATGGGGATGTAGTGTACAGCATAGGGAAAACAGCCAATAATATTTGAACGGCTGTCTATGGTGACAGATGGTGACTGGATTTACCGTGGTGACCATTTCATCATGTATATGAATATCAAATTATCATGTCATATGCCTAAAACTAATACAATTTGCATGTCAATTACTATTCCATAAAAAAGCTCAATTAAATATGTTAATCACACATCACCAACCAACCCATTTGTTAGCTACCGTTATACAGCATACACCATAGGAGGCCGGGAGAAACAGCGGTGGAAGACATGGTTTCTGCTTTCCAGGAGTTCAAAGTCTCGCAGTGGAGATAGTTGCATAAGCACACGGCACTTAGAGCTATGATGAAGTCATACACAGGGCACTGTCGGGGTGCAGAGGAACACCTGACCAAGGGCAGGGGTCGGGCAGAGCATCGAATGGAGAATTGCATGCGCCGAGGGGCAGGCGGCAGGAGAGAGGGCACAGGCAGAACCAAGGTCCTACCTACCGCGTGGTTCAGGGGAGCTGAAAGGTGGAGTCTCAGCCTGGGAGAGGCAAGCAGCCAAGCAGGGGGAGGTGTGGGGAGGTTTCCAGAGGTCCTGGAAACAGGAAGTCACTTACAGAGTCTTAGCAGATATGGATTTTAGAAGTACAATTTAGACAGCTGGTTGGAGGATGAACTGGAAAAGAACCAAAGTTCATGCTGCCCAAAAATCTAGGTATGCAGTGCCCGAGGTGTGAAGCAAGGGAGGGACTGAGAATGGAGAAGAGGCGGCAGATGGAAAAGACACTCGGAGGGGAGAGAGAACAGATCGTGGTGGAAGACAAGGAAGGGGGAAGAATGTGGGCTTTGGTTTCGGTGGCTGCATGGGTCATGACGTCATTCACCAAGGTCTGGGGGTAGAAGGTCAGAAGCAGCTCACTTCTAGGGGCGTCTGGGTGGCTCAGTGGGTTAAAGCCTCTGCCTTTGGCTCGGGTCATGATCCCAGGGTCCTGGGATCGAGCCCTGCATCGGGCTCCCTGCTCAGCAGAGAGCCTCCTTCTCTCTCTCCCTCCGCCTGCCTCTCTGCCTACTTGTGATCTTTGTCAAATAAATAAATAAAATCTTAAAAAAAAAATAATAATAATATAAAAAAGCAGCAGCTCACATCTAGACATCACTAAGTCTGCTGTGCTCCTGGAATCATCGAACAGGCAGTGAGAATACAGGTACAGACAGGAGCAAACTGGGAGAGACACGGAGTGACACAGAGTCAGTCATCAGTAGCAGAGGCCACAGCTGCCCAGGGGGACCACATAAATGCACCAGAGCAGAGACAAGGGAGCTGGGCTGACTCCTCGGAAGCCCAGGCATCTAGTACCAAATGGAAGACTTGAGAGCCCCGAGTCACTTGTATCAGACACTGCCAAGTCTAGCATTTCTTCCAAAGTCACCCAGATATGGTCACATAAATTCTGGTTTCCATAAGCTTGTGGGACTGCCGGGGACCCTCGGAGGTGGCCTGAAACGGTCCCTACTTACAGCCAAGGTCTCACAAAAGGTGTGAAAAGTTGATGCTGTTTCCAAGAGATTCTGGATCTGACACCCCTGAGGAAGACAGCCGCTAGCTTCCTGCAGGGGTGATGGGGAAAGGGGGGTGAGGTTTGAAAAGCCCCAGGCAGGTCCCCCCAAGGGAATGTGCCCCTTCTCGTTTGCGAAGTTCTGCCCTCAGGGCTTCACGGGAACATGGAAATGCCCTTTCGTTTGTGAAGTTTTGCTGTCACTATAGAGTAAGTGGTTTTTAATCACACACTTCCTGTTTTCAGCCCCGAGGGAGAGTTACTGTTCACTTTGTGTGTGAGAACCTTCCTCTGGCTCTTTTAAACTGTTCCTTTGTTTACTCTTTGAGATTACTAATTCTAGTTCTTCTAATCTCTTGGCTAACCTTTTCTTTTTTTTTATTTTTTTTTTAAAGACTTTATTTATTTTTTTGACAGACAGCGATCACAAGTAGGCAGAGAGGCAGGCTGAGAGAGGGGGGGAAGTGGGCTCCCCATTGAGCAGAGAGCCTGATGCGGGGCTCGATCCCAGGACCCTGAGATCATGACCTGAGCCGAATGCAGAGGCTTAACCCACTGAGCCACCCAGGCGCCCCTTGGCTAAGCTTTTAAAACCACCCTGTTGCTCATCACCCTTGGTCAAAGCAGGACAAAGTGCTCAACAGGCTTGCAGGAGGCAGGTCCACGGAGGGAGCAGGAAGGCCTCTCCTGCCCCCTGGCTGGTTTCTGCCTTCCTGCTGATCCCCTCACCATGTGACTTCCAGACTGCTTTCTGCTCTGAGACCTTCCCCACCTCGTCTTTTAAACCGGTGACTTTTTCTCCCTAATGTCAAAACCTGACCTTCATCAGGCTAGTTCTTAGCCACATTTCAAGGTTAAATAACCTCAATTTCTAGCCATGTTTTCCAGGGTGCTGTTCCCCATCCCCCAGACTGGCGTCCTGGGTCAATGTGCTCTCCTCTCCATGAGACTCATTACTGACTTAAACCAGATCAGGGACCTACCGCCAGAGATGGTCTTGTCTGAGCCCAAGAGCATAATTTTTCCCCCGGGTATGTGAGGTGGGGAAAGACCCAGAAGAGAGCCCTTCATTACAATCCCTAGGTGTAGACAATATCCATCCTCGACTAGAAGCAAATGACAAAGGAAAAATAAAGGGGCTGCCATGTGAGAAAATCCTGCAGGGTCGGGAGCAAAACAATGAAGGAGAAGGCGCCCTACAAAATATTATAGTATAAAATTACAATAACTGAAATAGTAAGCTGCAGGCCTAGGGCAGGCGAAGCAATGGAAGAAGCTAGACAATCTAGAAAGAGACCCAAACAGATAAATGAGAATATAGTGTATGACATGGACAGTCTTTCCAAACGTGGCAGGAAACTGGTTTATTTTTTAGGGGAAAAAATTTACCATGTAAATTTAGCTTTATACCATATGTCAAGATGAATTCCGAATGGGTCTAAGTTTAAAGGTGAAAAGGCAAACTATTAAGAAGCATTACGGGGGGCGCCTGGCTGGCTCATTCGGTAGAGTGTACGA